AAACCCACAGCTAACTACATATTTACAGATGAAAGACTGAAAGGTTTCTTTCTAAGATCAAGGTAAGACAAGGACATCATTTCTCTACTTCTATTTAACGTTGTACTGGAAGTGCTAGCCAGTGCAATTGAGTAAGAAGAAGGAGGGAAAATGGCTTCCAAATCAGAAGGGAAAAAGTTAAAAAACCATCTTTAATCATAGATTATATGATCTTATACATAGAAAATCTCAAAGAATCCACACACAAAAAAACCGTTACAGCTAGCAAAAGAGTTCAACAAAGTTATTGTCTACGGGACATATAGAAAACAAATAGGAAAATGGCAGAAACGAGTCCTTCCTTATATCTGTCATGTATCTATATACTAGGAGTGGACAGTCTGAAAAAGAAATTTATTTATTTTAAAGGATTTATTTATTTGACAGAGAGAGACACAGCGAGAGAGGGAACACAAGCAGGGGGAGTGGGAGAGGGAGAAGCAGACTTCCCGCAGAGCAGGGAGCCTGATGCGGGGCTCAATCCCAGGACTCTGGGATCATGACCTGAGCCGAAGGCAGAAGCTTAATGACTGAGCCACCCAGGTGCCCCAGAAATTTATTTTTTTAATATTTTATTTATTTATTAGAGAGTGGGGGGTGGGGAGAGGGAGAAGCAGGCTCCCCACAGAGCAGGGAGCCCAATGTGTGGGGCTCAATCCCAGGACCCCAAGATCATGACCTGAGCCGAAGGCAGACATTTAACTGACTGAGCCACCCAGGCACCCCTGAAAAAGAAATTTAAAAAACAATTCCATTTACAATAGCATCAAAAGTGTTAAAATACTTAAAATAAATTTAACCAAAGAGTTTAAGACTTGTACACTTTTTAAAAATGACAAAGTATTGTTGAAAAAGTTAAAGAATATCTAAATAAATGGAAAGACATCCCATGTTTATGAATTGGAATACTTAACATTGTTAAGATGGCATCACTCCTCAAGTTGATCTATAAATTCAGTGCAATCCCTATCAAAATTTCAATTGCCATTACGAAATGGACAAGCTGATCCTAAAATTCACATTGAATTACAAGAATCCTCAAACAGCCAAAACAACCTTGAAAAAGAACAAAGTTGGAAAACTCACTTCCTGATTTCAAAGCTTACTATGAAGCTGCAGTAATTAAATCATAAAAACAGACCTCTAGATTAATGGAATCAAGTTGAGTCCAGAAATAAACCCATGCATTTATGGTCAATTGATTTTTTTTAAAAGATTTATTTATTTTAGAGAGAGAGTGAGTGAGAGAGTGAGAGAAGGGGCAGAGGGAGAGAAACAGACTCCCCACTGAGTGGATCCCGAAGCAGGGCTTGATCTCATGACCCAGAGATCATGACCTGAGCTGAAACCAAGAGTTGGGTGCCCAACCAACTGAGCCATCCAGGAGCCCCTGTGGTCAATTGATTTTTGACAAGGGTGCCAAGACCATTCAATGGGGAAAGAATAGTCTTCTCATTAAGTGATGGTGGGCAGATGGATAGCCACATGCAAAAGCAACCCTTAACTCACATCATGCACAATTAATTCAAAAAACAAAATAAAAATTAATCTAAGATCTAAATTTAAGTGCTTAGACAGAGAAAGAAAACATAGGGACAGATTTTTATGACTGGATTTGGCAATGTTTTCTTAGATATGACACCAAAAGCACAAGCAACAACAAAGAAAAAATTAGATAAATTAGACTTCGTCAAAGTTAAAAGCTTTTGTGCATTGAAGGATACTATCAAGAAAGTGAAAAAGCAACCCACAGAATGAGAGAAAATATTTGCAAGCCATATTTGATAAGAGTCCAGTATCCAGAATATATCAAGAATTCTTATAACTCAGTTACAAAATGATAATCCAATTAAAAATGGATGAAGGATTTCAACAGACATTTCTTCAAAGAAGGATTTAAACAGACATTCATATAAATGACCAATAAGCACATGAAAAGGTGCTCAGCATCATTCATAATTAGGGAAATGAAAGTGAAAACAACAGTGACATGCCCCTTCATAAGATGAGTATAACAAAAACAAAAACCTCCAGAAAATACCAAGTGTTTGCAAAAATATGGACAAATAAGAACCATCATACATTGCAGAGGAATGTAAAATGGTATCACCACTGTGGAAAACAGGGCAGCAGCTCCTCAAAAAGATAAAATTAGAACTATTATATGACCCAGCAGTTCCACACCTAGGCATATACTGAAGAGTACTAAAAACAGGTGTTTACAGCAATATTATTATAGCCCCAAACTGGAACCAACTCAGATGTCCATCAGCTGATTATGATTGGATAAACAGAATTGGTATATATACACAGTGGTATATTAGTCATAAAAAGGAATGAAATACTGCTCCGTGCTACATGAGTGAACCTTGTATATATATTACAAGTCCCTGAATGACATACTTTAAAATTAGCCAATTTTAGTATGTGAATTTTACCTTAATTAAAAAAAAACCCAACCTTCCTAACAGTGAGATTCATTCAATACTTATAAAATTAATTTCTGTATTAACATCTCCATTAAAAATATTTTTGAACTGGGGCACCTGGGTGGCTCAGTCGTTAAGCGTCTGCCTTCGGCTCAGGTCATGATCCCAGGGTCTTGGGATTGAGCCCCACATCGGGCTCCCTGCTCCGTGGGAAGCCTGCTTCTCCCTCTCCCACTCCCCCTGCTTGTGTTCCCTCTCTCGCTGTGTCTCTCTGCCAAATAAATGAATAAAATCTTAAAATATATATTTTTGAATGAATATAGGAAAGCTCTTAGAGGAAAGAACCTCTTTTTATCATATAGCTAAACTGTAATTTAAAATATTTATATTTTGATTCTACTGCATCAATTTATACCCATCTAGATCTTTTTTTTTTTTTTAAAGATTTTATTTATTTATTTAACAGAGAGAGAGATAGCGAGAGCAGGAACACAAGCAGAGGAGTGGGAGAGGGAGAAGCAGGCTTCCCGCCGAGCAGGGAGCCCGATGCGGGGCTCGATCCCAGGACCCTGGGATCATGACCTGAGCCGAAGGCAGATGCTTAACAACTGAGCCACCCAGGCGCCCCCCCATCTAGATCTTTTAAAAATGTTTTTATTTTGTTATTTAAGAACATTTGAATTGGGCTTAGAATGGCAGTTTGGGAGCCTAGTGTTTAAAGCAGCAATATATCTAATGTTTCAGAGAAGTCTGATACATGTAATGGAGAAATTTCTGTTGGTTAGTGAAATTATCATATAGTTCAATTTAGTGTACTATTTGAAGGATGCTGAAATGGTTCGATTTGCATTTTCTGAATTCAAAAGATCCTCCTCGTCCCCAGCGGTTTGATAGCTACCTTGCCATCATTTTTTTTAAAAAGATTTTATTTATTTATTTTTTTAGAGAGATAATGTGAATGGGGGGAGGGGGAGATGGAGAGGGGAGACAGAATCCCAAGCAGACTCCCTGCTGAGTGTAGAGCTCAACGCAGGGCTCAATCTCACAGCCCTGAGATCATGACCTGCGCTGAAAACAAGCGTCCCAGGCAACCCCCCTTGCCATCATTTTTGTTTCATGCCTGGTCTTATACTTTTGCCAACAATTTCTCTTCTCTTGCTTAAACACTGTTCAATAGAAATATAACATGAACCATATATGTAACTAAATTTTCTGGTAGCCAGATTTTTTTTTTTAAAGATTTTTATTTGTTTGACAGAGAGAGATACAGCGAGAGAGGGAACACAAGCAGGGGGAGTGGAGAGGGAGAAGCAGGCCTCCTGCCGAGCGGGGAGCCCGATGCGGGGCTCGATCCCAGGACCCTGAGATCATGACCTGAGCCGAAGGCAGACGCTTAACGACTGAGCCACCCAGGCGCCCCTGGTAGCCAGATTTTAAAAGTAAAAAGAAATAGGTGAAATTAATTTAACGAATATATTTTATTTAGCTATATTCCAAATATTAAAATATTATTTTAACATATAATTGATATATTTCTTAAACTATTAAAGTATTTTACATTCTTCTAAGTCTTCAAAATCCAGTGTGCACGTTACACTGACATCAGATCTCAATTAGGACTAGGCACGTTTCAGGTGTTCAATAACTACATGTAGCAAAGGACTTCAGTACTGGACAACGCAAGCTTAGATAATCAGAACTAGGACATTGTCTCCAGAAAAACTAGGATATGTACTTGCTATTTCTGGGAATGGAAAGGAAACGTTTTCTTTTTTTTACCCCCAAACAAGTTAACTTACCTTATTAGCCAGCTTTTGACGTAACTGATACAAAGAGAAATCTTTGTGTTTTAGTGGGATGAAGAAAGGAAACTTGGAGTGAGCCTGGGTGTGATGAGTAAGAGCAGCAGTGTAGGAGGAAAGACTGGAATTCAGACCAAGGAAGTTTTGCTGTAATACGATTGAGGCTAAGTCCAAGAGAGGATGGGGGCAGCACGCAGAAGGAAGGCTCAGGGTTGGGAAAAAGGGCTAGCCCTGGAATGATATATTTCAAAGTCAAATGTTAAAGGTACCTAGTTGGCCATGGGACTTTCTTCTCAATCTTCATCCTCTCCCATACTTGCCCCTGTTAGATGGATATTACAGAGTATATAGTGGCTAAGAGCAGGCATGACCCCTAGAGTATATTAGTCCCTTGAACTACTTTTTAGGTAATTCTTTATAGATCTTATTTCCCCCCCCCCTTTCACAAAAGGAAAATATGAGACAAGCAGAGAATAGATAGAGAAGTAGAGCAGGTAGAAAATAAAGTGAAGAAAAGAAAAGTAGGAAAGGAGAAAAACTGTGGAAACACCAAAAATATACCAATATACCCCTAATAAATTAGAATATTGAGTGAAGGTTTTTTTTCTTCTTCAAGAGATGGAAAATGTAGGTAAAGGTAGGGAAATGTGATGCAGAACAGAGGGCATATCCAAGAGAAAATACTTCTTCACCATTTTACTTAAAATTGCCTTGCTTGCCTTCTTCATAGCTGTGCCACTGCATACGTTCTACTGGCTGAGGAAGAAGCAACAACTATTGTAGATGCTGAAAGATTATTTAAACAGGCACTCAAGGCAGGAGAAACAATTTACAGGCGGTCACAGCAGTGCCAGCACCAAAGTCCTCAGCATGAAGCTCAACTGAGTAAGCAAATTTGAACTGATTTTTACCTGTCTTTTATTTAGTTCCTGCAGTTGACTCTTTTATGTTTAAGACACAAAACAACAATAATGAAAACAACCCTTAATACTTAGAAGTTAGCTTCTTTTCATAAGAGATAACTAATCTATTCATTATGTCTATAAGCCAGCAAGACAAATAGACATTAGCTAGAGAATGCTTGTGGAAGGGAACAGATATGCTTTGGTTATTGAGAGATGTGCTGCTTTGAGACTTAAGGTAATTTATTTCATGTGAGAATTTGGGCTGGTCATTGGAGAAGCACAACTCAGAAATATCCAAGATTCAGGAGAGCCTTCTAGTAATGATAAGCAGCTATTACCTTTATCCTCACCCTTCCCCCAAGCAGTAGTAGAAGTACATCCTTTGGTGTGCCCTTCAGACTGTATGTACCTCCACACAGTGCCAGGAAGTGACCCCTTTAGTATAACATCCAGTCTACACGTGGCATTGATTCTTTCTTTCCTTGACTTTTCTCTATGATATGTTTGAGAACATATGGGCCAAAGCAACTGAGATTCTTTCCTCTCTTAGGGATGCTCTCTCGGTTACTATTGAGATACTTCCACCAAAGATGTTAGAATCTGTAGAGCTGCTGCTTCCTGCTGTTTTTCGTGGCCATTAGTTTAATGATTTTGGCAGATAATGGGCAATAAATTGAAATATGTTTACATAATGCATTATCTGTTAGCAGTTAAGTTCTAAATCTTTTGTTTGTGGAAATTAAAATTTGGATAATGTTTTCTCTCCAAACTAAATATTGATGTATACAGTATGTTTCCTTAATGTATGTTGTTATAGCACACAACTGTGGGAATATATAATTTTGCAGTCTGGAACTAATGAAACTACATCTGTGAAAAAGCCATGCCATTTGTCTTTGTATATCTCAAATATGATTCTGAGATAGTTACAGAAATATTTGTGAGCTCTTAGTAGAAAGAGTTTTATAGTTTGTTAATTACTAGCTGTTGAGCAAAAGTTCACACTAGCCATGGAGATTTTGTCTTGAACATCTTTTGTTTGTCAGTTCAAACAATAGAGAATATTAAAATAATAGATTGTTTATGCAGTAACTCAAAATAATAGGTCAGAATTAGTTTTTCCTATTAATGTATATATTTCTTTTATGTTAATATTAAAATATACTTTTCAAGTTTACACTGATTAATTTATATATAATATATTCAGATTACTTATTGTTAGAGGCAAAAGTAATTCTATATATATAGATTTTAAGCTTTTACCATAAAAAACTTCAAACATATACAAAAATAGAACAGTATAATGAACCCCCATTCAATGTTAGTCACCCAAATTCAATAATCATTAATAGTCTTCCATTCTGACACAGTTTAATTTTAATTGAAACTTCCCGGGTAAGCAAATAATTACTTATAGTTAATGGATAATATGTTAATGAAATAGTACTTTGTAATACAAAGTGATAGTTGTGTCATTTTTTTTTAAATAGGAAGAGATACCAATGTACTGGTATATATTAAAAGAAGATTAGCAATGTGTGCAAGAAAATTAGGAAGAATAAGAGAAGCAGTAAAAATAATGAGAGATGTAAGTAAGTTTGATGATTGGATGTTTATATTTCTTCCTTCAAAAACTGAAAATGTGGTTTAAGTTGCCAATTATTTTAATGTAAAATCATTGTTTTTTAATTGGTAGTTTTTATAACAAGCTATTTATTAATATACATGTACTTCTAAGGGTTGAGTCTCCACAGTTTTGTTAAGAAACTAAAGAATTTCTACTTTAATGAATCAGATTCAGCTCTATTGAGTTCCTTTGCTATAATTTTAATCTTTTTTCCTTTTAATGTACAGTTGATGAAAGAATTCCCTCCTCTTACCATGTTGAACATCCATGAGAATCTCCTAGAATCACTTTTAGAATTACAGGCCTATGCAGATGTTCAGGCAGTCCTAGCAAAATATGATGGTGAGTGATAATTGACTTAGTTGATAGCATGGTTAAAATATTTTTTTCAATTATGTAATCATAAATGTGATCCTATTCTGGTATTTCTTTGATTTTCTCTTCCCATCTTACTAGTCAGTATTTAGAATCCATGGATACAAGTTATAGTTTCTTCTTTATCAAGACTTTTGGGAGGAAAAGTCTACAAGCAGGAACTTTTCTTCTGTAAAAATTTATTCATTTGTTTATTGAGTGAAGGGCTTGGAATACAATAGTGAACAAGAAGACATGGACTTAGTCCTTGTAGGATTTCCAGTTTAGTAAAGGAACATACAGACAAATGAATAGTAGTTATATTGAAGCATAGCGTGTTAGGTGAGATAATTGGAAAAGTATGGGGTGCTATGGACATAGGATGGTACCTCATTTGTTTTGGAGTGTCAGAGACAGTTAACAGAAGTTGCTTTATGGTATGTATAAGAAATTCAGAATAACATTTTTACAATGCTTTTTGGTTACAAAGTATAATTTGTTATTTCATATGATCAGTATAATAATCTTGTGAGGTGGTAGGACAAGTTCGTTTACTCTTGTTAGTAAAAAGGAAACTGGAGTTGAAGAAGGTTAAGTAATTGGGTAAGGTCCCAGCCAGTAAGTGTGGCAAGCTAACACTTAAATCCAGGTATTCCATTTCTTTACTAGTCTTCCAATAGTAAGAAGTCGGTGTATATTGGCTGTTTTTATTATTATACTAAACAGTGCCAGTTCACCACAAATGGAATTGGGAGAATTTTTAAAAAGCATGACCATTCTCCTCATTCTGAGTGAGGCATCAGCTTTTAACATCCAGATGAAAACATCCTAACTAGCATATTTCTGGTCATATCTTTCCCTATAACATAGGTACAGGTCACATATTCACCGTTGTTCTGTTGTAAGTTCCTAGCCATTAGCTTGGGAATCCCCATGACTTGGAAAGTTTGAAATGTATCACACTTGGAAAGAGAAGTTTATTTCTTTTAAACATCTGGAATTCTTACAAGTGCTTCACAATAGTGTAGGCTCATGGAGAAATTTGTGAGAAATTCTTTCCATATGTAACTTATCGGGTGCGTGGCCTGCTTATGATACAGTGAACAAGCTTAGCAACCAAATACAAAAAATCAGATAGGACCTGATTTATTCAAAATAAAATAAAACTAACAACTTAGATATGCTTCTGTATTTTCAGCTGTTTTTATGATTCCCCAGTTTTTACCATTCTAGAATCCTGTAGAAGCTAAAAGCAAATTTATTTCTTTAGTTCTCGATTTGCTGGTGTAACTCTGGAATCTAAAACTTCGAGAGAGTCCACTAGTACTACTCTCCTGATAACATTATTTTGGGCATTGTTTAAGAAAGGATTGGTATGATTAATTATATTATAATTCCTGATTCTTTATTTTATAAAAAATCCTTTAAGACAATGTAGAAAATACAAAAACATTGGAAGAAGAAAAAATTAAAATTACCTATTGTATTACCTGGATTTGACTCCTGTTAACTATTTCTTTTTTTTTTTTTTTTCCTGAATCTTAGTTTTTATCTGTTGAATTTGTACCAGGAATTATTCTTATTAAAAATTGTCTTAAGATATTTTTTGTGATTCTTACCTAAGTTGAAAATTACAATTACAGATATAAGCCTTCCAAAGTCAGCAGCAATCTGTTATACAGCAGCACTATTGAAGACAAGGACTGTTTCAGATAAGTAAGTATTGAAAACTACAGTAATGGGCGCCTGGGTGGCTCGGTTAAGCGACTGCCTTCGGCTCAGGTCATGATCCTGGAGTCCCTGGATCGAGTCCCGCATTGGGCTCCCTGCTCGGCAGGGAGTCTGCTTCTCCCTCTCCCACTCCCTGTTTGTGTTCCCTCTCTCGCTGTGTCTTTCTCTGTCAAATAAATAAATAAAATCTTTAAAAAAAAAAAAAAGAAAACTACAGTAATTCAGAAAGACTACTAAACTCAAGGCGGGTTTCCCCTGCTATCTGAAAGTTCACTTTATGCCACTTCACTTTTATAAAACACTTACATTAATACCTGTGTTTGCTAACCGAAAGAAATCTGAACAGGATGCTCACATTTATGAAATGGTAATTGCTTCTTCCCTTTACGCCATTCCAGCTTAGGAAAGGTTTCTTAGGAACGCTCTACTTGCAGATCGCAGGGGAAACCTGTATTGTTTTTCACCACTGACTTTAAACAATGCTTTTCCTCCCTATTTCCTTTTGAATAACCTTGATCTCATGGGGCTTTGAGGCTTCTTACTAGTGTAGTGAGCACGGTTTTTAGAGCTAAATAAACCTGGATTCCAATTCACAGTCTACTATATACCAGCTGTGGAACTTTGGACACGTTAATCAGTTTGAGTCTCTTCCTTTCTGTAAAATGAGAATAATAATACTGTAGCATGGTTGTTTTTGGAGTACATTGTAGCTATGATGATAATAAGGTGTATGGTAGGGAAATAGTTTCATGCTGTCTGTTCTGAGATTATAATTCTAAATTCTGTTTCCCTTGTCTTTTTGGCTGTCCTTAATGAATTTCTCTTTATTCCACAGATAAGATTTTCAGAAACCAAAGGGCAACCATTTTCTTTCGCCTTAGATTACTATGCCTCAATATGAATTAGAATGGAATATTCACAGTCTGTTTCCTCTCGGTGAAAATTTTATACGAATGTACCTCTATTTCATGAGATTCTCTGGATGTCTCTATGTAGCATTTCTTATTTTATCACCTTTCCCAGAATGTGCCAGTGGACTTCTGAAGGCTTTTACTACTTAAATTTGAAGATTTCCATTTCTTATGCTGCCCTTCTTTATATGTTGACCCAAGGGCTTTATTTCATGTTTAGTAGTTATTTGGCTTTGTCTTTGGCTATCACCAGAAACCCCTGCTTCAGGAAGTTAGATTATGATCAAAATCCATGGATTTTTATATTAATTTTTTCATGTTATGGTTTTCTTACAGATTCTCTCCCGAAACCGCTTCCAGAAGAGGGCTAAGCACAGCAGAAATCAGTGCTGTGGAAGCAATTCATAGAGCTGTGGAATTTAATCCTCATGTTCCAAAAGTGAGAAATTTTATGATGAAAATGCTACATTTATTTGAGTTTACCAAACTCATGAAAGTATGTAGACCAAAGTTTGGGTCTCTATAATTCTAGTCAGAATTATTTCAGTCTGTTATATATTTTTTAAAGATTGATTTATTTATTTGAGAGAGCTCGCTCGCATGAGCGTGCACGTTGGGGGCAGTGGCAGAGGGAGAGGGAGAGAGAGCCCTAAGCAGACTCCGCACTGAGATCACAACCTGAGCTGAAACCAAGAGTTGGACACTCAACCAACTGCACCATCCAGGCACCCCAAGTCTGTTAACAATTTTGATACTTATTGACTGTAAAGGGAATCTGGAGTTTTCTTTGTGAGAAGGATTTTCATTACAAATTTCATTTCATTAGTTTAATTGATTAATTACAAGTTTAGTTTCTTTAGCCATTCCATGACTATTCAAATTTGTTCTTCTTGTGTTGGTTTTTGTTGTTATATTTTTCTAGGAATTTAGTTCATAAAAATTTTGAAATTTATTGGCACAAAGATTTCATAAAATCCTTTCGTAATCTTGTTAATGTTTGCAGGATCAATTGTGATATCCACTGTTTAGTTCCTAACACTAGTTTTTTTATTTTCTTAACCAGATTCCCCAGGGATCTATCAATTTTATTAGTCTTTGCAAAGAACCAAGCTCTGGCTTTGTCAATCCGCTCTACTATTTGTTTCCTGGTTCATTCATTTCTGCTCTTTATGGGCTTTTTTCAACTTTCTTTGGCTCTATTTTATTATTTTTTTATTTCCTGTATCTTTTTATATAAGTACTTAAATTAACACATTATTTTTCAGCCTTTCTTCTTTCTAAAATATTTGTTCAAGTCGGTAAACCTCTAAGTACAATGTTAACTGCATTGGATAGCAGTATTTTTTGTTTAATTTAATTCAACATATTTTCTAATTTCCATCTTGATTTCCTCTTTCTAAATACATCTTTAGAGATATATTTATTCCATTTAGCTATTTCTTAATTTCCAAACATGTGAAGATTATCTTTTTATCCATGATTTCTAGCATAATTGCATTATGGCCAGAGAACATACTCTATGATTTCACTCCTTTGAAACATTTTTCAATTCTTGAATTTCTGTTTATTTTTCACATCTCCTGTGTTATTTATAGTTTGTGATTCTCTGCCAAAATTTAAAATATACTTTTTTATCTCTTTGAAAATAGTTTAAAGTAGTTATCTTAAAGTCTTTCTCTGATAATCCACATATCTGGAACTTCTTTCTGTTTCTATAATGTGTTTTTTTCTGCTACATTATTTCTTCTTGTCTTGCTTTCTCTTTTGCCTGATTTTCTTTGACTACGTACCCACTATTTTAATGTACAAAAAATGTAGAAATAACTTGAAACTTCAGATAATAGTATCGTCCTTCAGAGAGGATTTTCTTTGCTCTTAGATGCTTAGAAGAAGCAACCAGCAGGACAGAATCATCTTAATTCAGTTTCAGGGATTGATATTTTCTGGTCTCCCCAGATGACTAGAAACTGGGCTGAAATCCATGAATGTCTGGGTTTATTTCTGGTTCACCCTTATTCCTAGGATGAAGCTTTTCTGGGTCCCAATTCAATCCTGAGGATTTTACCAAGACTCTCACTCTTAGCACACCAGGAACTCCTGACTTTTGTTCCTTTAGCCTTATAAAACTGGCATAAAAAATGAACAGCCTCTTAGCCATCTTGTCCAGAATTGGCAAATGTGGCTTCTGTTATTGCTGCCTTCTTTGGACTGTTTGTTAATTCCTTACCCTTTGTTCATTCTCTGATGTATTTGATTAGGTTTTTAAAAATATTTTGTTGTTTGAGAGGGTTGATCTGAATTATCCAGTCTTCAATTACTGGAAGCAGAAGTTTGAAAATCCTTCTATATGAAATGCTCTGCTCTCTCATGCTGCAGAGTGGTTAAAAGAATGGATTCTGCAATTACACTGCCGAGGTTTGAATTCTGGCTCCGCTACTTCCTAGTTGTATGACCTGGGACAGGTTACTCAATTTCTCTGGACTTGAGTGACCTTGTGTATAAAATGGGGCTAATAATCATTATCCCTTAGAGTTGTTATTAAGATTAAATGAGTTCATATCTTTAAAGTGCTTAGAAGAATGCCTGACACACAGTAAACATTTCAGAAGTGATTTTTAATGTTATTATCCAGGATGGGATAGAAATCTGTTCCCCTGTGCGAAGGTAAGCAGCAGTTATTAATCAGAACTCTTCAAATTAAATACATCCCTAAGGTGTCTAAAATTTTTATTTATTTAATTCCCACTCAAAATAACAAAATCTGCACCCTGTAGTTGTGGACTTGTTTTCTGCTTCAAAAATGCTCTCATGCAAAGTGTATTCTCAGCAGTAACAATTCTGATAATGTGCATTGTGCATTTGTCTTCAAAACTACTGCTGAAGGCACTTGGGTGGAGGGAGGGTAGTAGAAATCCCAGGCATTGCCCTAGTTAAATTAAACTGTTAGATAGATAAAATATATTAATCTCCAGATTGAATCTGCTCTAGATAATCTATAATGCTTTTAGGGATACTTTTTTTTTTTTTTTTTACTTTAAACACACGAGAAGTTAAAGAAGACCTAAATAAATGGAGATATGTACCATGTACGTGGATTAGAAGACTCAATATTGTTAAGATCACAGTTCTCTCCAAACTGATCTGTAGATTCAATCTACTTCCTATTAAAATCCTATCAGGCCTGTTTGTAGAAATTCACAAACTCATCCTAAAATTGATAAGAAAATGCAAAGGACATAGAATAGCCAAAACAATTTTGAGAAAGAACAAAATTGGAAGTTACCCAAGTTTACCCAATTTTAAGACCTTTTTAAGCTATAGTAGTTAAAATAATATTGGCATAAATATTAAAATATAGATCAATAGAAGACAATAAAAAATCCTGAAGTAAACTCACTTAATGATGATCAGTTGATTTTCTTTTTTTTTTTAAAGGTTTTATTTATTTATTTGAGGGGTGGGGAAGGTCAGAGAGAGAAGCAGACTCCCCGCTAAGCAGGGAGCCCGATGCAGGACTTGATCTCGGGACTCCGGGATCATGACATGAGCCGAAAGCAGTCACTTAACTGACTCAGCCACTCAGGCACCCCATCAATTGATTTTTCAACAAGAATTCCAAGGCAATGGGTGCCAAGGATAGTCTTTTTTATGGGGCTGGAACAAATGGTGCTGGAACAATCAGTTATCTATATGGAGGAAAAAAGAAAAAAGAACCCAGACCCTTCCTTCACACCATTTACAAAAATGAAGTCAATATGGAACATAGATCTAAATGTAGGAGGTAAAATTATAAAACTTAGAGAAGGAAACAGAAGAAAATCTTTGTGACTTTGGATTAGGCAAAGATTTCTTCAAAAACATGATCCATAAAAAAGTGGATAAATTGGACTCCTTAAAGTGTTTGCTCCTCAAAAGACATCATTAAGAAAATAGAAAGCCAAAGACTAGGGAAAAATATTTGCAAGTCATATACTATTAAAGTTCCATATCCAGAACTTATAAAGAACTCTTACAGCTCAATAATAAGAGGACAAACAACTTAATTAAAAAGTTAGCGGGACACCTGGGTGGCTCAGTTGTTAAGCGTCTGCCTTCGGCTCAGGTCATGATCCCAGAGTCCTGGGATCAAGCCCCGCATCGGGCTCCCTGCTCCGCGGGAAGCCTGCTTCTCCCTCTCTCACTCCCCCTGCTTGTTTTCCCTCTCTCGCTGTGTCTCTCTGTCAAATAAATAAAATCTTTAAAAAAAAAAAAAGTAATTAGCAAAGGATTCAATAGTCACTTCACCAAAGAAGATATATGAATAGGTAATAAGCACATGAGAAGATAGCATCATTAGTCATTGGGGAAATACAAATTAAAAGCACAATATGATATTACTCTATACCCACTCAAATGGCTATACTCACAAAGACTGACAAAATCAAGTGTTGGCAAAATGTGGAGAAACTGCATACATTGCTGCTGGGCATATAAATTAGTATAGCTACTTTGGAAACAATTTTGTAGTTAAACATATGCTGGCCTTATGACCCATCAGTTTCAGTCCTAGATATCTACCCAAGAGCAATGAAAACTTATGTCCATACAGAGACTTGTATGCAAGTGTTCATAATAGTATTATTCACAATAGCCAAAAACTTGAAACAGTCCAAAAACAGGTGAGTGAACAAATAAATTGTAGTTATCTCCATACAGTGGAACACTTCTTAGCACTAAAAAGAAACAAACTGTAAGTACTTGTAACAACATAGATGGACCTCAAATAGTTTATGCCAAGTGAAAGAAACCAGACACAAAAGACAAACATATTATATGATTTCATTAATACGAAATTTCTCGAGCAGGGAAAACAATAGACACAAAAAGCAGATCAGTGGTTCCCTGGAGCTGAGGGTGGGAGTATGGATTGACTGCAGACCAGCGTGAGGGAGCTTTTTGTGGTGATGGTTGCACAACTGTATAAATTCACTAAAAATCATTGAACTGTATACTTACAATGGTGAATTTTGTGATATGAAATACATATCTCAGTAAAACTGTAATATATAATTTAAGTATATATTTAGCATATAATGTGTATATACTTTAACATTTTTAAATCATTTCTATTTGTAGGTAGAAATTTAAGTATTTTCCCCCAGCTAAACATCAAAGCCAGTTGACAGTTCTACTCTATCAAAATATCTAGCTAAGTAGAATGGTGCTATAAGCCTTACAGTATTGTTTGTGGATACACACTGTAGGCTGGGTATTTTTAAACCAGATCATTATTAAGGTTTTTTGGAGAAAATTTAAGCTCCAACAACTTGGATAATATCCCACCTAAATAACATTGGCGTTACATGAACTGGAGAGCTCTGGTCTGTAAGGCTATTTTTGCTAGGGTTTTACAAGTGATGAAGTATGTACTGATTCAGATCCCCCCTCCACCAATTATGT